TCGCACGCTCGTACACCGAACGCGCGCGCTCAAAGTCTCTCTGCGCCTCCTCGAAGGCGGCGTACTTGATCCACGCGCCCATCGCGTTGCGGTTCATCCGCAGCCGGTCCTCGTACTGCTTCCGCTCCTTCATCCGGTACACCGCGAGCTCCTCCGGGTCCATCACCTTTTGCGCCGGCGCCGTGTAGGGCTCGTCCTCCTGCCGCTCGCGCGCCTCGCGCAGGATCTGCTCGGCGGTGATCTGCATCGGCGCCGGCTGCTTGTTGGTCACCTTGGGCATGTTTGACATGGCCGACATGCTTCTGCTGCCCGCGCTGGTGCGCGCGCGCACAGTGGGTGTGGATTTTGGCCTCGTGTGGGTCGGAGCTCGTGATTTGCGGTGGCTCGTTTGTTTCTCTCGAGGTTCTCGAGGTGGATATCCTTTGGCCGCGTTGGGTAGCGAGGATTGTGGTTATATTTTCTTTTTTCGCCTCGAACGACCCCTTCCCTTCCCGATTCCTCCTCCCCGGCCGACGAGCCGATCCGAGTGCACCTCAGTGCTCTCGCGCTCGTTCGTGGCTGGCTCGCTCTGAGTGATGTGCCTAGAAGCTACATAGACGGCCTGAAAAAAGAAAGAAAGAAAACAGACAACCCAAGGGAGGGATGGGAGGACGGCACGCCGCCACCACACAGGGATTTTAAGGAGAGGAGTGTGATGCGCTAGCCGTCGCCCACCCTAGGGAGTCTGCCTCTTCCTATCTCTTTTCGCAGTCTCTCGCCGATTCTCGCTGCAACCTTCATGCCACCTCGCGGCCGTCCCACTCTCGCCGTTCTCTCCCTTGTCACTTCCTCGAGGCTCCCCTCCTGTCGCTCCCTATCCTGTCTCTCCATCATCTTTCTCACCGCGTCCTTCGTGATCTTATTTTGCTCAGGTATCTCCTCCTCCCATGTCGCATTCGTATCGAGGCCCGGGGTCCCCTCCAGCTTTATCACTCGATTGTCCCCGTCCTCTCTCGACCCCAGGTACGTGCCGCTGTCTTGCGCCGGTTTCTTACCTCCGAGGTAGAGCGTCCTGGCCTTCCCCTCCACTCGGATGTCCGTCCTGGTTCGCCCTTCTTCGAACGTGTGTTCTGTCATGTTGGGTCCGCTCGTGCACACCCCGTTTGCCTCCCTGCTGTATTCAATGAATCGATCGAGCACGTCGCTCCACGACGGATCATTACTCTTTCCATCGCACGTCTCTAGTGCTCTGTCCGCTTGCGCTGCCTCCGTCCCCGAACTACCTAGTCTTCTGCGGTGTTCTAGCCACTCTCGGAAGGACGCCGCTTGCCGTCTCACGCCTTGCGCGTGCATTAGCTCCCGCTCCCATGTGTGGGGCATCTTATCGTGCCACACCCAGCTGTCGCTCTGCTCGCCTTCCCATTCGCAGAGGTACTCCCATCCGTGTTCGTCCTCCTCCGTGCCTCCCCCGTAGCAGGTCGGCGCCTTCCTTGCCGCCTTCACCTTCCGCACCCTATCGGGCGCCCTCCGTTCCGTCTTCTGTCCGTGTGCGCGCTCTTCTATGGCCGCCCACTTCCAGTACTGTCGCAGCTGCGCCCACTCTGGTCGCTCCAGCTGCTCCGCCAGCCTCTTGTATTCGCTATGTTCCGTCGTGTTGTCTTTGAGGCCATAGACTCGCTTCATTTGCGGCCACGTCAACACTTCCCCGGTGCCCCATTATGGACGTCCGACCATGTCGCTATCCCGTGCTG